CCAGTGTACACTGTCCTGCTGGGAGTCAAAGGCTATCTGTGTTCACAGAAAGAAAAACGAGGCAGGTTGATCATTTAGATTAGAGAACAAGGTGATGATTATTACAAGGAGCGGTTTGGGGGTCTTTCGGACAAAGTTCAAGCAAGGTACCTTGTCCCACCCTTCCGCCAGTTCGCCCAGGGGTGTAGGTATGGGAACAGGGGGTGTCTCCATAAGTGGGTTTGCTTGGTTCATTTTCTGGTGATGGACACCGTGTGCCCTAAACAGCCCACCCGTTCTGTGCAGACCCGGGAGCATAACATCTCCCTAAGCAATGTTCGCAGAGGGCATGGATGGACTCTCTCCCTGCCTGCAATCTGTGAGCTAAGCATGTGCTCGGCCCCACCCACCAGATGCCTTCCTAAGAACAAAGGACTCAAATCTTATCTCCGTGGCACTAGACCAGTGGGCTGACCCAGTGAATTCAGTGTGGGGAGTAGGAAATCAGCCACCCCAGCCCAGCTGGTAGCCGAACTTCCTGCAGCCCCTCAGCCTGGCTGCGGATAGAGTTTCCTCCTCTCATCAGCTGTGTTGGAAAAAAGAGGCTAAGAACCAGGAGCACATCACAGATGCTGGTGCTGGAAGGGATTCTCTGCCCCAAAGCATTCTGTCCACACCGGCTGACAATCCCACACGTGCCCTGGCCTGTGCCAAAGGTGGGGGTGGGCTCCTCAGAGCAAGACGGTGGCCCCACGTGGAGTGAGGAACAGCCCACTAGCACTGTCCTCAGTCACATGGCCCTTGGGTCAACTCTGAAAATGAACACACACTCAGAAACCCTTCTGAGCTCTTAATTTTAACGCTGCGAGAATTCTTCTAAGAATGGGGCCGATGCATTCCCAACCCATCCCGTCCCCTGGGCTCCAGGATGGAATCCTTGTCAGCAACAGGAGTTGAGTAAAATGATTTTCTTCCCTTAAGAAACCAAGAGCCAGTGAGAGCAACACTGCAAGCAGGAAAATTCTCTGGCGAAGCTTTTTCGAAATGGACCACGTTCAAGCACGACTCCTGATCTCGATTTTTTCTACACTCACATGGAGTCTCACATAAAGAACAGTGCTGCTAAAACTAGAAACGTGGCTCTAGAGACTAAACACAACCAACTTCTGTGCGGTTTCTAAGTATTTTCCACCTTTTCGTGGCAGCTTCCTTCGATTCTGGGCTGCTACATGTGCCCAGGGGTGTACTGTTTGTCACTCTAAATAGAGACCTGAGCTCTCGAGGCCTGTATTGATTCCTTGCTGTCTGACTCCCGCAATTCCACGTGGAGGCCACAGTCAGGAATTAGGGCTCCTTCAGCTGCCTCTGGTCCAACTTGAAAGCTTCCCAGCCACTGGAAGCAATCAATGGTTTGGGGCAGGAGCTGGCAAACTATGACCCACGGGCCAAATCTGGCCCATCACCGGTTTTTATCAATAAACTTTTATTGGCACTCAGCTCATTCATTTATATACTGCTATAGCTGCTTTCATGCTATAATGGCAGGCTGGAGGAGTTGGACAGAGACTGTATGGCCCATGGCCCACAGGGCTGAAAATATTTCCTCTGTCCCTTTCTGGAAAACGTCTGCCAACCCTGGTTCAGGGTGTGGGCTCCAGCCCCAGCTCCTGGTTCCTGGATCCCTGCTCAGCCACTCATTTGCTGTATCATCATGGACAGGTGAGGACTGGACTTTCCCAAGCCTCAGTTTTCTAATGTGTAAAATGGGGGTAACACAGTTCCCGCCTCATGGGGAGGTTGGAGGATTAACTAAGTCAATCGGGTTGGGCTTGGGCCGAATCTGGTGTAGATTCTCGGTGAGCGTGGGCCGCCGTTCTGCACCCAGTCAGGAACTGCGTGGGGCCACTTCCCTGGGACCCCTGGCTGCTCCTTTGTGTAGATGACAGACACGAGAAGGGTGGGGACCATGTCTGACTTTACCCTCTATCTGGCACAGGGCCGAACACAGACCACGTGCTTAGTATGTCATTGATAAGTGGATGACAATTACTCTCGAGGTGGCGTTTTGAACGTGGTTTACAAACGGGCCATCATTTCTGTGGGCAGCGTGGACGGGTCAGAGAGAGGCTGGCAGAGAGAGAAGCCCTGGATGCCACTCGCGATGATGTTCCAGAAGCAATGCTATCCCTGCCCAACATTCCTTGTCCCCTGTCCCCACTGTTTTATAAGTGAGTATAGCTTATTATTTTTACTCAACATTTTATTATGAAAATGTTCGATCATTCAATAAAATTCAAAGATACCATCTCATATTTTAATGAACTGCATCTCATTTTTTAATGAACTACACCAGTACATTTCACTCCTAAACACTTCAACCGGCATCTGTTAAGGGTTAAACAGGGTTCAACTATAGGTCATGGGTCTTTTACTTTTGGATGCAATTTCCATATGGTGAACTTCACAAATCATAATTTCACCATTCAATGTGTTATGAGAAATGCACACACCTATGTCACCCAGACTGCAGCCGTGACTTACAGCACTTCCCCCGCCCCCTGAAAGGTCTCTTGCGCCCACTGTGTCACCCAGGGGCAATCACTGCTCTAAGCATCTCTGCCACAGGCCGGTTTATTCTGCCCTAGAAACTTCATATGAATGGAACCCTACAGTGTGCACTCGTTCATGCAAGGATTCTCTTCAAGAGCCCTTCACGTTTTTCATGACAGCAATAGCTCATTTCTTGTCATACAACATAAATATACCGTTTTTTAAAATTCTCCAGTTGATGGACATCTGGGCTGCTTCCAGCTTTGGGCTATCAGCAAGTATTGACTTTCTAATTCACAAACAAAATGAAAAGAGACCTACAATGGCCCCTTTTTACCAACGGGAGAACTATTAACGAAAAGAGTAAGGACAGCCAGGGACTCTGCTGCGACCTCCGAGGCTGTCTCTCTTACCCTCGAATCCTAGGGGGCACCCAGAGCCTCTCCAGACTGCAGTTCACCTTTCCCACTCAGCACACGCCCGTCTCCCTGCCGGGGCCCTCTGTCTAGTCAGATGGGACACACACACCTCCTTCCCACCTCTACCCAGCCCATCTCTCCCAAAGTCCTTCCACCTTTTTAAAGCTGGGCCCTTTTTGGCCTTATCACCCATCCGAAGATGATCTTGGTCACATCCTTTGCCTGGGTCACCTTTTTACCTCCCAGCTAGTCCCCATGCACAGGGCAGACGCCTGGGTCCTAAGATTTTCCTCATGCCACACACCTAACTTCCCCCCTGGCCCTGCACACAGGCTTCAATGAGCATCTGCAGGTGATGCTGGGCATGCTCGTGTGTGTGCCCGCCTTGGAGGCAGTGAGGCAGGGTGGCAAGGGGCAGGAGTGGAGAGCTGGGTGGGGAGACTGCCCATGGTGAGTAGTGGCTTTAAGCTGATTTTTTTCAAGCAACAAAGTGAGAGGGAAACCCCCATTTTTTAAAAATTGAGGAATAATTTGCATACAGTAAAATGCAGAGATTTTCACCCATCAGGTGTACTACTGGATAAGTTCTGACAAATACATGTACCCACGTAGTCCACATCTCAGTGAGAATATAAAACATTTCCATCACTCAATAACTTTCCCCGATGGCAACAAATCTGACTCAACCCCCTCAAATACTAGTTTCTTGGGTGTGGGAAGCCAGACAACATCTCTGGAC